CAACACTTAGACATTGGAATCGAACAATCAATAGTAACTGAATAGAACAACGTTAAGGCGTTCCCAATAGACTAATTTTAAAATGAAATGAATTTTATAATTTATTAGATTTATGCGTATTATTTTTAATAATTGCTCAAAGATGTTTTTTGTAGGCTTTGATTTTTCAAACATTTATTTTGTGCTTAATAATATACTATAGTAATTATTAGAACTACACTTATATGGTAGGTGTTTTAGAGTATTCAATGTGATGCCTGTCTTTTTCATGAATATTCAATGCTAGGCTATCTACGTGCAAATAGTTTACGAATCGAATACTGACTGATTTTGCGTCATAGGTAACATATAACGCGATATATTCTATAGTTTATACTTATAATCAAGCTAAACGCATATTTAGCAAATTCAACGAGCGCGTTAAAAAAAATGAGCGTAATAAGACAAGCTCAGTAGGGCACGAGAAAAACCATCGTAATCTCCGAACAGATGAAATAGGGCGTTGCTTAAATCCAGCAAAAAGCCTTAAAATTGGAAAAAACACTGAACGGATAGATTAGCCGTGTTGGGGCGCAGGCGAACCATTTATTGAAAGTCGGAGGCCAACGCGTGGAGCCATTAGTCGTGGCGCTCGACTGAAAAAGTGTCGCTCGCACTGAAACATTGCGCTAGGGCGCTATTCAATTGCTGAATTTATTTTATTCAAGCCAATCGATCTTCAGACAACAGAACGCACGTTGAATGAAGTGTCTCTTGGGGCAATAAATTTTGGATCCTCGATATGCTTTATTAAAAGTATTACTTTTTAGTTGTTGTAATGTTTTATCTATACTGTTATCTTATACAGAAAACAGTGTAAATAGCGCATTGAAAATTTTGTAATGGTTTTAATAAAAAATATCTATACTAATATTATAAATGTGAAAGTTTAGATGTTGGGATGGTTGGATGTTGCATATGATGCACGCTAGAACGGCTAAACGAATCTGGATGAAATTTGGCAAAAAGATAGAATATAGTCTGGAATAGCATATGGGCTACGTTTTATCCAGGAAAAATGTACAGTTCCCGTGGGATAGAACGTGAGCCGCTAGTAGGTTATAAAAAGTATACAAATAGATATATGAAGTATATTTGCGCTGGTATTTAATTGATTGATAGATACAAAACATGGCTGAACCGATTTCAAGGACACTTTAATATTGTTATGATATAAAATTATGTTTAATTGATAGAAAAGAAGTTAAAGCTAGGTGTTGATTAAATAAACTCATTAGTGCGTGTTCTTATAGTATTTGTATAATATCTATTATAGAATATGAATTATTTTATTTTAATTAAAATAAAATAATTTAGATAAATAATTGCTTTATTAAATAATAAAAGTTCATATTTAATTTTCTTAATTAATTATATCTTCACTACTATTTATAAGAGCCCTTCATTAAGTCTTACTTCGGTTATTGAAATCTTCTTTCCTTTAATGGTTTAGAATTGCGTTAATAGGAAAAAAAAATATTCGGCCAAATAATATCTGTATAAATATTATAACTGTGAAAGTTTGTATGTATGGATGTTTGTTACTCTTTCACGTCTAAACGGCTGAACGAATCTGGATGAAATTTGGTACATAGATAGATTATAGTCTGGAATAACAAATAAGCTACTTTTTATCCCGGAAAAATGTACGGTTCCCGTGAGATAGGTTTGTGTTTGTTTCTGTAAAGGCAAACCCGAGCGAAGCGAGGGTAAGACGCTAGTCTTATAACATATTATGAATTTAAATAACATCATAATTTATAATGATATTTAATTTAAAAAAGTATTAACCTAAAGGATTTACTTTTGGGAATTCTTTATGTTGAGGGATCTACATATACATACATATATAAGAGAAATCGATAAAATTGGACTCAACTATTAAATTACGACTAGAACTGACTTACTTATAGCCCGCACGAACACTTTTCTTCTGGGATAGCATATATCCCAACGGTCATATCTAATTCATCAATTAGGTTAAATTACCGAATTCCTTCAATACCTTATATATTTTTGATTCATTTCGTATTCATTCGTCCAGTTGTGCTTACTGAACGTTAGTAATCTAATCGAGATGTGTTCTGAAAAGGCAATAAAAAAATGCACAAAAGCATGATAAAAACTCTTTTCAATTCTATAAATGCCAAAGTATTTTTTTTCATTAGCTCAAGTAAATTTTTATAAATTCTAGTAATAAAGAGCCAAAGCAAAGAATAAATGTGACTTTTTCTAAAGAGAGTTTATTTTTGCTATGGACTAATTATTGCTATAAAACGGAAATTCTCTGTAACAGCCTGGAGTTGAGAAGTTGGCTGTGTTTCATCGCCATGCCTCGAGCACGTAACGCCGCGCCTTCGCGTCAGCGGTCCTGTGATTCTTACCGGTCGAATTCTCGATTTGAGTTGACCAGATTGAGATATTATACCTACAGGAATAGAGAGTGCAATGTTTGCGCGAATACTTATCTATACATACAATAAAATTGTAACTAAGTCGAATCTGTACATTAAATATTTTTTGGAAAATCTTATTGAAATAGACATTATTATCGATACAGAGTCCGAATCTACTTATACTCGTAGGTTTTAGAAATTTGTCTGTCTGTCTGTCTGTCTGTTACCGCATCACGAGAAAACCACTGGACAGATTTTGATGAAATTTGGTATGATGATAGCTGGTTATCCGGGTCAACATATAGGGTACTTTTTACCGCGGGAAAATATCTCATTTCTGAGAAAAAATACAAAAACTGCATTATAAGAGTATACTAATATGTAAAAGCTAAGAATATGCTTTTTGGTCATCTGAACGAGGGCGGAGCCGTGGGCAATGCTAGTTCACTATAATATCTCCTACGCAAATGGTTATTCTCAGTGAGCTTGACCATTGTGGTCAAAATCGATCACGAGGATATTATATGTAAAAAGCTGTACGAAGCGAGAAGAGCCCCAGTTGTTTTAATCAATTTATTTGCATGAAAACAGCGGCTCGTCGACACTGAGGCACGTACAATATTCGTATTTTGGGTTTAAGCATATATATTTAATACTTATAGATGTTTAACTACAAATCCTAAAAGTTTGGAATGGAAGATGTTTATTATACATAATATGTAGATATAAGTTAAAAAATTTGTTTATATTTATTTTATTACTTCATATAATCCTAAGTTAAGCAAATGGCAAATCAGTACCACTATCATATACGTATTCAGATTTTTTAAATAACCACTGATCAAGTACTTGTTGACTCATGAATAAACCAATTTTTCAATTGTAATTTATTACGTTGGTAAACTTTGCTACTTTTAGGCTAATGAATCAATTCCGGCGTTGCTCTCTTGAGTCTTTGAAAGCAGTGTAATTGAAAGCGACATAAATTATATTTGAAGATTGATTACATTTACTTTATGAATTATACTAGCATTGCCCGCGGTTCCGCCCGCGTTCAGATGGCCAAAAACAAAATTCCTAGAAAATTGCTTTAAGCGAGTTAGTTAAATTATAAAGATATATAGCTATTGTACAAGACCTTAGTGGTTATCTTAATTTACATCCCATTTGGTCAGGTCTCTAAAAATTTACGCTATAACACAATCCTTTCGCGAGTGCTAGCGGTAACAATCGCGTGACGGTTTCACATAATTTGTGTAGAAACCCCTAAACCTTGGCCAAGGACACGCAATATTCTCTAAGAATTAAGATTATATTTCGTTTATTTTTCCTTTATTTCTAAAATCTTTTTTTATTTAGCATTAATTCCTGCATATTATAATAAATTAAAGTTCGTCGTTGACTTTGTATTTGTTTGGGCTAATCTCAGAAACTGCTGTTCGGATTTTCATTGGATTTACATTAATAGAAAGAGGAATCGAATAAAAGAGGAATATCTAGACAGGTTTTCCGCTATAATTTATGAATGTTTTTGAATAAATCGTCCTGTTTGACAGCTTCCGTAATATTGTAGATATGACGAAGCCATAATATAAACAAATTATAATTTGATTTAATATATTAACAATATTATGTGAGTTTAAGTTAAAAATATAAAGAAAAATAAATAAAACATTATTTGCTTTTAAAATTTTTATTGTTCAATTGTCTGAATAAAATCCGCCTAGCAGTAACTAATAGCTTCGGTACGCGAAATATCTTCCACGAATTTGAACAACATCGTACCTAAATAATGGCATCTACTAAGAACTATAGAAATAAAGTCTACGTACATATTGTATGGAGCTCAAAATATTTAAAATAATAATTTAATTACATTGCTTTACATATTTATCTATATTTCTTATTTTTTTTTTGATAATAGGAACACCCGAATGAAGTCTTTTCATTCTTATAATTTACTAGCATTGCCCGCGGCTCCGCCCGCGTTCAGATTACCAAAAACCAAATTCTTAGGTTTTACATAATAATTAGTATACTCTTACAATGCAGTTTTTGTATTTTTTCTCAGAAATGAGACATTTTCCCGCGGTAAAAAGTATCCTATATGTTGACCCGGATAATCAGCTATCACCATACCAAATTTTATCATAATCTATCCAGTGGTTTTCTCGTGATGCGGTAACATACAGACTGACAGACAGACAGAAAGACAGACAGACAGACAAAAATTCTAAAAACTATAGATTCGGACTTGTATCGATAATAATATCTATTTCAATTAGATTTTCCAAAAAATATTTAATGTACAGATTCGACTTAGTTACAATTTTATTATATGTATAGATAAATAGACATATTTATTCCATTTTCTTTTGTTTCAGATGTCCGTGTCACATAAAAGGTAAAATGCTTTGTCACAGGCGACATATAAAACAGTAACTCATTTAGAGCATGACAGGGCGAGATCAAATATTTCGGAGCGCTTGAAAATGAAGGAGGTAGTAAGAAGGCGCCGAGAAAAGGCGCTAGTGACTTGATGTGCGCGCGATCCGTCAAATAAACATGGCTTCACAACTTGCTGCGATACTCTTGTGGCTCGGCGGAAGTAAGTATTTTTATTTGATTTTATATTTATTAAAATAGGTGAATAAAAAATTTCAATAGTCCTTATAAACTAGACCTAGTAAATGTTCCCGGGACCTAGTAAATGTTGGTTCGGAAATCTTAATAGATACTATAAATATTATTATTAATACTTATTAGCGACTAGCGGCTCAGCCTCGCTTCGCTCGGGTTCGCCTATATAAAAGCACAAACGGATCTATCCCATGAGAACCGTTCAGTTTTCCGGGATAAAAATTAACCTGTTGTTTTACCGGCAATATAAGGTATCAGCATGCCTAATTTTACTAAATTAGGTGCATAATTTGTTGTACGAGTATAATAAGCTGTATAAGTTACTATAGTTTTTTAACTATTCCACGGGAACTCTTTAATTTTCCGGGATAAAAAGTATCTTAAATGTTGACCGGGGATAAGAGGTACCACCATCTAAAATTTCATTTAAATCGGTCAATTTCGGAGATTAGCCCGTACAAACAGACAAACAGACAGAGAAACAAAAAAATTAAAACAAATCTGGATTTGTTCTATTTCTTTTCTTACATACCCCTGACTCCGTTTTAAGTATTTTTTTCTATGTACAGACATCCGACCTCTACAGCTTTATTATAAATATAAATATGTATAGATTATAAAATACCATCTTAAGTCTTCTATAGATAAGAGTAAAGTATACCGAGGTCTTATTATAATGAAAGATCGAATCCCTTATCTTTGCAAAGGTGATGAATTATTAAAATCACTCGGATATAGTCGAGTTTAATATTCAATCCCTTAAGTTAAGCTGATTATGGGAACACCCGAAGGTTCGAAGTACTACTGTTAAGTGCCAAGCTATTTCGATCTGGCGAAATATAATTTATTCTTTGAAAACATGTGATGTCATTTATTTATAATGCAAAGAAAAGGACTGTACCACAAACATTATTTTTACATGTAACTTTGAAAAACTTTCACTAAATTATATGAATGCTTGACATTTATGGCCAACTAAGGAAAATGTATTTGGAAATTAAGTAACCAGATTACGTAGGAATGTTGATGATACCGGAAGACCGTGAACATAAAACTATTTTTTGCGTCAGATTTATAGCGGAAGGGTTTGGGATACCATCAAATTGGACGAAAACTTTTGGGACATAAATAGGATGTCTTTTGCAATATTACATGATTTTTGAGAATAAAATATTGAGACGTAATAATAAATGACTACGACTCTATTGAAGCAACGAAGATTATGTGATACTATCATTGCCCGCGGCTCCGCCCTTGTTCAGATGACTAAAAACCAAATTCTTAGGTTTTACATATTAGTATACTTTTACAATGCAGTTTTTGTATTTTTTCTCAGAAATGAGATATTTTCCCGCAGTAAAAGTATCCTATATGTTGACCCGGATGACTAGCTATGATCATACCAAATTTCATCAAAATCTATCTAATGCTTTTCTCGTGATGCGGTAACAGACATACAGACAGACAAAAATTCTAAAAACTATAGATTCGCACTCTGTATCGATAATAATGTCTATTTCAATAAGGTTTTTCAAAAAATATTTAATGTACAGATTCGAATTAGTTACAATTTTATTATATGTATAGATCTAACTACATAAATAATAATTAAATTATTATGGATTTCCAAATGAATACATATTATTATTCTGGCTGAATGCATAATGTTAGTGTACATGACGTGATTTAAAATCATGCTCGATGATATTGAAAACTATCACGAAATAATACGATGTGGCAGAAATCGTAAATTGAATTTGGTTACATTGTAATGAGTTCTAGTCGAGAGTTGTGTATAGAGTTAGATCTTAAATTCGATCACGTAGCTTTCATTTGATTTATGTATTCCAACCACCTTTACTATTGCTGAAGGCCAAGATTTGATTACTTATGTTGGGATGGAATTTTGTTCAGTGATCCGCTAACGGATCGACCACAAAGTTACGAGAAAAAGTGCCTTAAAACAAAACTTTTCTATAATATATAATCTCTTAAAAGGAATCAATAAATGAAAAAGTAATATTATTAACATAAAATATTAAGTAGCTCTCTAACAAGTTTTAGTGATTATCATATATTAAGATAATCACTAAAATCTGTTTATATATTTATATCTGTTTGTGACAAATTCTCGTGATTTTTTGTGTAAAGATAGTTTGAGGGCTGGAGAGTGAGAGACTTCTTTTTACCGCGGGAGATTATCTCTTTCCCACGAGAAAACACGTTATAATACAACCAAAAAATATTTATAATCAGAATTAATTGAAACTTGGTATTAATGCTCTTCAATACAATTAAATAAATATGTATTTTAGGATTTTTCGAAATTTGGGGATAAAATAGGGGATGAAAATTAGTATGAAACCCTACCTTTTTAGAGTTTTTTTTTGTAATTTTAGCGCGAGCGAAGCCGCGGGTTCTGCTAGTAGACTATATTTTAAAGTGTGATTTCGATAGATTAGAGATGGCCTGTCATATAAACATACATTAAAAATAAATATTCCGATTTAGAAATATTAAACCTGCGGCTTTAAATTTGACTGAAATTTTTTTGCTGACTAGTAAGTAATCCGAAGAGTATGTGCCTTTTAAAAATTGTTTCATAAGACAATTTTCACAATATATCCTGTAGTTTATATTTTACATCATTCAAATTTTATTGATTTTTATTTATTTAAAGTGTCCATATACTGAGTTTGTATATGCGCATTACACAAAAACTTAATTAATACAAAGAATGTTAAATATTATAAAGCTTTATTTAGTAATAACTGTGTTTATTTTATTGAATTCGACGTGATTTATCAAATAATATTTATTTATAAGTATATTTATTATACTCATAATAAAAGCATAAAATAATCCAATCCTACATATATATTTTTTTTAATTTTTTCTTAATTTTAATTGACAGACTCGAGTTAACATTCAGGATAATGAAATAAAAATTCTGTTTTAAAGATAATAAGATTTTATGATGCACTGATTATCCTTTTATAGTTACGTCTAGATTTAGTTTATTTTATGTATATCCCGTAAACTTCAGAGGTTTTTCGCAAGGTAGGGGTGAAAGTTTTATCAAAACTCTCGTTTTATTATATATTCATTACTTTCATAATAACAAAAAAATCATTAAAATCTTTCTTTTCCTTTATAAATGTCCAATATCACTAGGAAAACGTAATCGTATGTACATCTAGTATTATTATGTAAGTACTTATATTTAAAAAAAAATTAAGAAGTATAAATAAATGTCGGTAGTATAAAGTGCGTTTGAACTTACAGAATTATAAACTTTCATAATATATTTAGTATTTACTAGCGGAACCCGCGGCTTCCTCGCTCTAAAACTACAAAAAAAAACTCTAAAATCGTAGGTTTCCTACAAACTTTCATCCGCTATTTTACCCCTTTATGGGATGAATTTCGAAAAATGCTTAAACACGTGTTTAATTGATTGTATTGAAGAGCATTAATATCAAATTTGAAGTAATTCTGATCATTAATATTTTTTTGTATTGTATTATAACGTGTTTTCTCGTGGGAAAGAGATAATCTCCCGCGGTAAAAAGTAGCCTATGTCACTCTCCAACCCTCCAACTATCTTCAAAAAAAAATCACGTGAATCCACGAAGCCGTTTCGACCTAAAAGAAAGACAAACAAACACACTTTCACATTTATAACTTAACTATGGATATATGAAGCACCTACCATACCTACTATATGAGTACTATAATTTGCATGTAACCCACATGTAAATTTCAAAAATTTCTCAATTACATTATCTTCTATAGCCACGCTTTACTGTTAGTGCAAACAACTGCAATAGTAACAAACGAACTGGAATGGTTATAGTATTCTCGAACATTTTCGGGTATATCGATCTAAATACCTAACAATGAACTTTATCTGAATAGAGTATTTTATTAAGTCATATTAGATGTTTTAAGTTTTTCTAGAGATCTATTTAGAAAGGAAGCCCTTTCTATGAATGGAAAGTAAAAGCTGTGTGCTATAAGTATATTATAATACTAGAGACTTACCCCCGCTTAGATCGGGTGCGTCAGTGGTTTTTTTTTCACTGAAGCCTAATTATTTCTCTAAAATAGAACTTAAGACTAAGTTACTCCTTATAACATCAGCTACCTGCCAGTGAAAGTTCCGTTAAAATCGGTCGAGTCGTTTCGAAGATTAGCTGGAAGAAACAGACAGACATAAAAAAATGTTTCTTTTTTCTTAGTACCGTATATACTCGTACATACTTTCAAAGGCATTTATTTAATAAAAAAGCTGCTATTTTGAGATTACAAATAGAAACTTGAATTTTATTTATTTGTATAGATTCCAAGGGGAAAACGAACTATATATTTTATATTGGGTAGTAATATTATTGTTAATTTTTGATTTTTCGACAGGTGTATTCGGTCTTCGAGATATTCAACTAAGCGTGCCAGAGGCGGTTGGAGTTGGTGCGAGCGCGACACTCGGCTGCCGCTGGGCTTTAGACACTGGGGAAGCACTTTATACCGTTAAGTGGTATCACGGCGCGCAGGAGTTCTTTCGTTTCGTGCCTAAAGAATTGCCTAACACTCGGGTGTTCTCACAGACTGGCATAAGTGTTGATGTAAGCATATAATCATAGAATTACGAATATTCTATAAGGTATTTTATAATAGATTTGATAATATGTTATGGGAAAATATCACTTTTTCTTCTAATCTTGATAAGAGAGAGAGAGAGAGAGAGAGAGAGAGAGAGAGAGAGTATTTAACAAGCATACCAAAAGATATGAAGGAAATTAATGCATTATAGAATGATGTATCATTACATTTCTTCCAACATTTTTCAAATTTTATTTCTTTATAAATAGATACTATTTAAATATTAGTATATTTGTTTATATTTAAACGAAATAATAAATCTAAAAATGTTAATTTTTCAAATATTTCATTTACAAAGCGACTATAAACAGCACTATAACTGTGATTACATATGGGTCAATAGCTTTGCGACATCTTGCTAGTTCGTTAAACTGCTTCCAGCGAGTACGCTGAAAAAAAATCACTTAAGAATCTCGCCGAGCGGGCACGTTAAACCTTTAGCAGTTGGCATCGTGCCATAGGAGAGCAATAAAAGTGTGCCAAAATAATACATTCAAAACCCTATCAAAAAATAAGGAACACGCAAAATTAACTGCGTAGTGAAAAGTGTCTGTAATTATGTTCAAGTTTCACTTGATCCAATTTTAAGCTAATGTAATAGGTTGATGGTGAGAGAATGAACCTACATACTATAAAATGTATGAAAGCTTTTAGTACATTCGACTCCAGCTGTGCGCGCAAAAGTGCTTCTGACACTTCATAATAGTTAACGCTACTCAATATAGAACGTTTAATATTTATAAACTAAATATTAGAAAACAAGTTTAATCTATAACATAACCTTCTAAAAGTTATGTACGCTTTTTTTGTATCCGACAAAGTCCTTTCACAATCGTTCTGTAAATGGCACAAGAGTGGACTTTAACAAAAGGTAGCATTTTATTTCTATGCAAGTACTACTATAGAATGAAAGCTTTTGTTTTCAGTGCAATTAAGCTCATAACATTTGATTTTATGCCCCATTTTAATGAACATGTTACAGAAAAAATCTTTTCTGGTCAAATATTATTTTTGTTTGATAAATCAGATAAAAGTAGTTTTTTTTTAAGGTCAATGTCGGTTTTGTCTAGTAATTTGGTAAAATTACATTTGGCCATTCAAAAGTACGTGTAACTTAATACTTAATAGGTTTTAATTTGAAATATCGAAATAGTTACAAAGTTAAATTTCTAATGAGAAGTATATAAAGTATATAGTGATTATCAATTGACAAAAAAAAGTTTTTACTTTATTGTTTGGATCATTAGTATATTGTGTTTCAACATTTTTACTGTAACATGGTATAAAATCGCAAAATCGAAAATTTATGCACGCAGATTCAAACAATGCTTAATTATTACGCCAAAATTGTTTCAAGAATAAAACAATACTATGATAAAATGAATATGAAGGTCGTTAATGATGTGAATACTTAAAATACGATTTTTTTTGTGTGCTACGCAATATAACTATGCATAAATACGAAACAAATTTATTATGTAATATACATGTTTGTATATAAATAAAATAAATATGTATGTAACCAATAAAAGTTGATATTTAAAGACTATTATAGAAGTTTATAGTAAATTCCACCGTAAGCAATACACAACTTACGTGACATTCTGTATGCTTTTTAGGGTTTCGTAGTCAACAAGGAACCCTTATAGTTTCGCCATGTCCCTCCGTCAGTCTGTCCGCAGCTTAGCTCAGATACTCTCAGTACTAGAAAGCTGTAATTTGGTATGGAAAGACATATTAGATACTTCGAAAAAGTGATAAAATAAAATGTCGAGAAAAAATTTTTAGGGTATCTACTCTACACACAAAGTGGGGATGTCTTTTTTCTCGTCTACCCGTGGTTGTTTTTGGATATGTGAAAAAAATCTCGTTAGTAGTACATATATATAAAGAAGTTAAAAAGAAAACTTTCACAGCTAATAACATCGTTACATAAAATCTTTTTTTTCATTTACTATGCATACCTAGTCAAATATTTTCGAAGTCGATGTGCTTTGCTTTGTATCGGCTGGCACCGACTTCGAAATTTAAATGACCAAATTTTTTTTAAATTTAAATGGGACCAATCTGGAAGAACTTTCAAACAAAACAAAAATTGTCCAAATCGGTTAATAAATGACGGAGTTCTAAGGTAACAAACATAAAAAAAAACATACAGGCGAATTGAGAACCTCCTCCTTTTTGAGGAAGTCGGTTGAAAAAGTTAAAAGCCCTCTTCTCAGTCCGTATTATTGTGATGGGCAACTAGGGAACCCTACATTCCGCGTGGCCCGACACGCACTTGGCCGGTTATCCATTTCTAAGAAATCTATTAACCAATAACAATTGAAACTTTTAAAATTTTAAATTCTAAAGGTATTGGTAAATATATTTAAATGACGTCATTATTATTTTCATTAGAGTAATTCACTCTGTTATAATCATAAAGTGAAATATGTAGAAAAGCTTATTCATGTGAAAATTTTCGGACATTATGCCTGTAAGCAAAATATTGAAACGGTACTGGAAAATGTTCAATAAATGCGAACATGACACTCGAAATTATTGTCCGCCACCTATCAGATTGAATTTGTCATATGATGTTTACTATGAATACTTATATTTTTATGTAAATGTTTTTATGCGAGGCTTACAATGAGATTTAATATCTACTATATTATTACTGTTTAATGTTCTATAAAATATTTCATAATTTATTAAGCTTTCTGATTGAGATATTACTTCTATTGTGAATGCAGCATTGAATGATGATATGCGCTGAAATTAAGAAGAGGGTGAGAAAAATTATGAATTATTAAAGAAGGCGTTTCTTTTGTGAGACTTCATAGAGATTTGAAGAAAACGATACAGTGAAGACAGAATGAATATTTGTTGTAGGTCTAGTACAATGTTGGTTGATCTGACCTGTAAGTCGAACCATTCTGGATTCGGATCCCGTTATAGAATTTTTCTATCAAGAAATTCTTCATGGCAGCCATTAACACATGAGCAGTTGGCTGTATTACGCCTTACTTGCGTCAAAAAGTAGAAAAAAGTTGTCAGTCGTGAGCCTAACCTCTTTTCGATAGTTCAAATGTCCTACTAAATCATGATAGGGAAATAGGATACATAATATAATCAAGCACTACTATATTTCTCTGTGCATAGATTTGTGTGCTATATGAATGACTATATAACTCTTTCGTAGGTGACTAGTGTATGTACATATGTACGAGTATGTATAACATATTCCCAAATAACCTTTCGAATATTAAACATATAATAAACATTAAAATTTTGAAAATATATGCATTCATATTTCACAGATCTCGCGCTCAGGTGCCCAGCAAGTCGTTTTACGAGGTGCTTCGAGGTTACTGAGCGGCAGATATCGATGCGAAGTGTCGGCAGATGCACCATTCTTCCACACGGTGTATAAAAGTGCTTATATGAGGGTTGTCGGTAAGCGTTCACTTAATACTTATTAATACTCTAAATCTTGTATTTAATTTATATTGGAAAATTATCACTGTAAAATGGATGTAAGTCTAAAGTAATGAGTACCTGAGGTGTAATGCATTGGCTTTGTGAATAGTAAAAACATTCATCGTTGTTATGTTTTAATAGTACCATAATACTAAAATTACAATTTTATTTGTGATATTTTATAATTTATTCGTAAGTTATAATCAATATTTAATCTTAATCGCTGCTGTGAACAATATAATAAAAAAAAATGAACGGTTGAATTTAAACTACAGAGTTACATTGCCCAGAATTCATCGCAATTTCTTTATTTGTAATGGAATGAAATTTAATTAGTCCAATCTCGTCACCAATTTCAATGTTGATTCTATCTTTGTCGTCCACAACGTGAATGGGCAGATTGATAAAATAAATATTCTGGCTAAATAAAGTTCCTGAACGCAATTAGTATACGAACTAATAAACAATGAGTGATGTTGATTGCTTGCTCCAGAGATTGCTTGTTTATAAGTTACGTAAACATAATTTAAAGTTTCCTTGGCAATGTAGCAGATTAACTAAATGAGTAACTAAGTCAATCAAGCTTGCTCTGATTTTGACATCAGGAAATTAAATTTGCAGTTGTAAACTGTCTACGATAGTTGTCATTATAAATGGTTTATATAGAGTTAGTTTCGATTAATGACTGTGTAACGTCGAACGTATAAGTAATAGGTATAATCCCAGAACGCTGCCGTGGAATTCTAAATCGTAAATCAGAACTATTGTTCGGCATTAAATGCGGAGTAGAACACAGGGGATGTTTGATTAAGGTTTATCTTGTTGAATTTACGGTTATTGTTGAGTAATTCGGTCGCTACAAGGTGTGTACAGCTTGCATACAAACAAGCAGCCACTTGCCTCTATTATATTTTACTGGTAAGCATTATGTAATGCGAGCTGATAACAAAATTGTCAAAATTATCTATCGCACTTTTTATTTAACATAAAGTTGTATATGAGGTTAATAAATCTTGTGTATTTGATATTCTTAATTCCAGCTGTTATAAAAAGAACCATGAATTCAAAATATCCTTTTTTGTTATGAGTAGAGATTACATCATAGAAATGAATAGAGATATTAAAGATCTCTTCATTTATAGTTCGCCTCGGTGACTGACTACTATGTACTCGGTACTGACTAATATGTACGGCTGCACATCCGGATGTCCTGGGTTCGAGTCCGGGGTTGGGCTAAATTTAATTAAGTGAGTCTTTCTGTTTAGTAAGCCTCAGTAACAGCCCGGAGATGGGAAGTTGGCGGTGTTTCACCACCGTGCCTTGGGGAGCACGTAAGCCCGTCGGTCTTGCGCCTTTACTCTCACTGGTCGTTCCACCAGAGTATGAGAGTGACAGGAATAGAGAGTTCACTTGTGTCTGCGCGTACACTTGTTCATTATAATATTCCGCGCATCTCGCTATTCTCAGTGAGATCGGCCGCCGTTGCCGAAGTCGGTCGGGAAGATATTATTATTATTATACCTTTATAAGTGATTGATTAAAAGATTTAATTGTTGATTAAAAGATTTCACATATTTATATGAAATCTTTCTAATTTTCGTAGATATATTGTAACAGCAAGTGCCATTAAAAATGAGACATATTTTTGCTACGAAAATGTATGATGCGCATATTTTTGTATTTGATGTGGTTTTCAAATTTACAAGTTCATAATGTAATTTAAATGCTTGTTGCAATATACATATTTGCATGTGGAACTATTCGACAAAGTATACATATGACAATAATAACAATGTTTACTCGGTTAGAGAAACTTTGATAACGAGGTTTGTGGCGAACTTTACCTAGAACTCATGTTAATCTATAAGCTAAAGGAATACAAAATGATATATTTATTTTATGTACAAATTAAATCATATTTATATCATTCAAAATATAAAATAATTTACAATATTGTAAGGACTCAAGTTAATTTTCATTTAACAGACTCTGTACAGACCGCTATAGTCGAGTGACTAGAAATAAAGACACTAAAGTTAACTTCACTAAAACAGAACGCGAATCTTGACTTATAAAATAAACACTAAAAGATGACAAAATAAACGAGGTGTCGGAGAATTCTCCCAGTTTCCATTAAGTACAATCGGTAAAAAGCGGGAGAACAGGAATGTAAACACTTAAAACTTTACTCCACACAGCGCTCCCCGCTTCTCAGTAATGGGGGGTGGTTGCTGACAAACAAAGCACGCCGAGTTTAGTCTCTGCTACCATTCTGTCGGTTTGGCGTTTTAACGGGTCCAACGAAATTCTGAGTGGAAATGGAATGAACGTGTATGAAAGAGAAATATATGCAACATCTACGCTCCAATGGGTCGCGCTAAAACGCGTACGGCCTCGTTAGATTTGATTTATTAAGATAGCTTTGCTACTCACCGATGCCGCAAATTCTAAACAGTGGAATAAAGGACTAATTTGAATAAAATGGGATGGCACATTTTGTAATTATTTTTTTGTTGAGAATTTTCGCTTTTGTTTTGATAATGCAAACTGCTCGTCATGATGATAGTGTCAGAATGGTTTGTCGCGATCTCGTCTTATAGATTTTAGCAGCTTTTAGAAACAGGGATTTTTAAAGTGATTTGTTCTCAGAATTGCCGGAGACGGGTCCGGTAGTACGAGCGCAAAAAAGTTGGTACTCTATCGGTGATATGCTACGTGCTAACTGCACTTCCTCGCCCGCTGACCCGCCGTCGAACCTTACGTGGCTGCTTAACGGATATGAGGTGAAGTAGGAATGTAATATTACCCAATTCCTACGTGTTGAATGTCCTTTGAATTTATATCATATTGAAATTTTTTATCTTGACTTTTTCATTCAGTATAATTTTTAATATTGGCCTTTTAAACATTTCAAGTCGAATTATGACAATGATAATATTAACGTATTTGGAAGACTAAGTTTAAAGAATTAGTTTGATAAAATTGCTTATACGAATATATATAGTAGAGGAATTTCAAGGCACTGTAAAATTAATATGCTACGTGCTATTTATAGTCACGTAAAATAAAGTTAGTTTTTCATATCTTTGGATTAAGCTTCAATATTTTAATATACAAATTATTTAAAGGTGAAAGGCCTCGACATACCACCACTAGATTCATCGTTTCCACAAAGACAACCTGTGATAAGTGATGCATCTCTAGAAGACGCGAATAGAATTATTTTCAGTCCATGGGACGCAATTTCTGGCTATGAAGAGCCAGTGACTGACGTTATAGACATTCCCGGCGATATTGAAGGCATACTTACCTCGAACACTCACAAGAAGTTTGAGAGCACGACGCGAATAGCGCCTCGGCTAGAACAAATTGCAAGCAAAAATATTAGCATCGAAGAAGATAAATCTAATAAATCCTCTTCGTTCAGTCAACTCGTTATACGAGTGCAGACGTCGCATTTTCACAAGGTATGTACAAAATTTATTTTATTGTATTTATTTTATATTTGTGTGTTTTATATAAAAATAAATACCTGTATTGATAATGTGCTTTCCTTAATGAGTATGAACATTTATCAGCGGCTCCGCCCGTTTAGTTAATTTATGTGTTAATTGCATCGCTTCTAAGGTGTTTAAGTGGCAAAATATTGACTGTGGAATTTTATTATACATGCGTACACCTTGCCACTTTTTGAAAGCAAAAGCTAGCCGTTTTATAGATAGCCTATAAATCGTCTTCAATATCGGCTATAAAATACAATATTTTTCAAATCGGACTAATAGCTCCAGAGATTAGCGCGTTGAAACAAACAAAATTTTCAGTTTTAGGTATATTTTAGTATGTATTTTATAAAATTTGTAAAATTTGTTTTTATAGTAGGGAAAACTATTGGTGGATAAAATTATTTCATTGCTTTTCCTATTATATTATTATGCTTTTCGACATGGGACCGATAAAACATTTATTTTCAATAATTTTCCTTAACGTTTTTTATTTGGTTTACAATAAACAAAAAAAAATGTATTTACTTTAATAAACTTAAATTTTTGGGCCATGCAAATATTACAACACAATTTTTTGAGGTGTGCCAATCATATAGAGTATTTTTTCATATAATTTCATTAATAAAATCAATCTCGCGTTTGAATGATACGTCACTAATATTTTCTAAATAAATATTCTATTATTTTTCCATAACGTAAATTGAGTGACATAACTTTTGGTTCTTTTTGTTCGACGACATGTCAGAATAGGCCCTTGTACCTTTAACTTGGACTATAAGAATTTAATCAATGTGATAGTAAAATTATCTTATATAAAATTTGGTTATTTAAACAAAAATAAAGAATAGATACGTATTCAATCTCGTATGTCCAATTTTCTAAAATATCTTGATTCTTCTTTAAGATAATTATTGTTAACAACACACGTCGGAATTACTGATTTTTGAACGCTACTCTCTTTACCAAAATACAGGAAATAAATGCTCACTAAAACGTATTGGAATCACGCTACTCCAAGCATAGCGCAATTTAAACCATGGAAGACCATTTGTTTGCTAGCCGCATTCGTGGACACACACAACGGCTTGGCATCGTTGCAAACCAAGCTTTCACCCAGCTTGAATCGCTTTCTGTATACACCAATTACTTATTTACTACAAACAAGATTTTTTTATGAAAGTTTAGTTAATGCTGACATTTTAGGTCTTATTTTCTTTGTAGATACTTTAATGCCCAATTTCACCAATGTAACCTAAGTTTAAGGGATCCTCTAAACATGGTTAGGGGACTGTTAGGGGACAGTTTCTGTTTCACCGACAGTTAGGGGTCACCTAAATATTAAAAGACCCCAAAAATTTAAGTGGTCAAAATATGGGCTTAAAGACGATGGTAAAACGAAATTTAATGTAGGGGTTAGTTTAGGGGACCTTTTAAGCTAGAGATCCCATACGTAGGTTGGTGGTCCCATATGTAGCTTATGGGTTGTTGGTGAAATCGGGCATAAATTTCCTAAATCTCCCTAAATGTACTTTCTTATTTTCTAACAAGAGGTAGATGAATAAGGTATTATATTTAAGCTAACGCTATCGAGATACTCAAAACATTGCTTCACACATGGAGAGTTTATATTTTAGATTATCCAAATAGCCCAATTTTACTTATACTAAAATATATTTATATACTCAAGTAATTACAATTAAAACGTACCTTGGTTAATTTACCCGTATCTATGTTACCCTGACGGGACTTAACAAGGTCGAATAGTTGAAAATAATATAATATAATTATTGTCTCACAGCTCAAAATATATTATAATTAAAATATTATAATTAATATAAAATACTAATATTATAAATGCGAAAGTATCTCTGTCTGTCTGTCTGCTACCTTTTCACGCTCAATCTGCAGAACTGATTTTGATGAAATTTGGTATGAAGATAGTTTAAGAACCTGGGAAGGACATAGGATAGTTTTTATCCCGGAAATCATTCTGTAAGGGGGTGAAAATGGGAGTGGAATTTTGTATGAGAATCGATCATCTCAAGTAAGCGATATAAAACTCATCATAACTCTATATATATAGACTATATAGTCTATCATATTCATATCATATCATATTCATATTTCATACTAAAGCGTTAAAAATACCTAGGGACGAACCTGAGCCAAGCGAGGGCGAGTCGCTAGTTATTCATAAGAAATATGCTTTTAATCAAAGAAAATTCAGACATTTTGCTTAAAGTAATTTTAATGATATTTGTCTCTAATATATCTTTCTTGTACAGGGTCGTTTAAATGTGACGTGCGTAGCACGAATACTATCCGTTTGGTCAGCGAGCGATTCCCTCTTACTCGATGAAGAACGGCCCCAAATCGCGCCCGTTATGGGCAGCCGGGATACAAATTCTGGTACGTACAAAAGTAAAAATACATGGAAGGAATCATTTTATTTTCGACTTACTATAACACAATTCAGTAAATTACAATGAGAATATTTATAAAAATTAACTAGACTTACGTTCAGGCACATATTTTTTTACTATAACCTAAGATTTTTTTTAAATGAGCTTATATCCCACGGAAATTCGCTGGATGTCCCGGGATGCAAAGTAAATAATATCTGCTCTTTATATATTTTTTAAATTGCTTAGTAGTGGTCATTATATACATGCATACATACATTATGCATTGCTTATAGTATAAATATTGTGATATTTTTTGTATATATATATTATTTTACATGTACCATTCTAATGTGCATATAAATTGTGGAATGTGTATCTAATACAGATAAATAAAATTGATTGAAGTGTCTGTTGGTTATGTCGCAATAAAAGCTTTTTATGAAATTCATATGAAATTATACATATTTTATCATATTATTGTCTGTCTGTCTGTTTGTTCCGGCTAATCTCCGAAACTCCAGACTGATTTTCACTAGCAGATAGCTGATGTTATAAGCAGTAACTTAGCCTATTTTTATTTTATAAAAATAAATTTTTATTTTATAAATTCAAAAAAATGAAAACGTACCTAGGAAAGTGGCTAGTTATAAAAAAAATAGTGCTTAAAAGAAGGTCATAGCATTACATTTAAACTACACTTAAGCTTTAGTATCTAACACGAACGTAAGTATGTATATATGAAACAAATATATATTTATTATTTAGTTATAATCAAACATGGTTCAAACCGTGTCCGTAGCGAATAATTGCAAGGACGCTAGTTGCATTCTATTATATATGGTTTCTATTATCAACATTTCTATTATCATTAACGATAGTTGATATTTCATCAAATGATTATGTTGTTGAATCAAGTGTTTGGTTTCCTAAATACAACATTTTGCTAATTAACAGAGTTTAAATGATACGAGTTGATACGTACATACATACATAAATTGAGTTTTTGGAAATAATTTAGTAAGGACTTTTTGTGTGTTAATATTATGGTTATAGTCCTAAAATATTGTGATCTAACTTTCATCATATCATCATACTACTTTAGTACATTTTTTATGCCAACTCTATTTTATTTTTAAAGTTATTCGCTAAATCACGAACGGCTCTATGTATTTCACCGGTCGATGAGCGGCCTCAAATAACGCCAGTCACGGACAGTTGGGAAAGGACTTAGGGAAAGGCTTACAGTGTAGTTTAGTAAAGACTTACCCTTTTTCCACCAATTTCGCCAAGTGTCGTGGAAAATTGGTATATTAACTCGGGATAACACTTCTAGTTTACTGTTAAATGATTGCATTTTTAGAGCTTCGGTTTGACAGTGCCATTGATTATAGGTATTATTTAGATTATTATATGATATTCTGGTAGCTCTGTAATAATTATTTTATTTAAAAAAGGAATGTTACTAGAATAAAAAGGGGGTACAATATAATATGTAATATGTATGTCTATGTATATATGTATGTATGTTTGTTTGAATTATATGTATATTTATATTATAATTGATGTTTGTAGTTTGTACCTACACCGCACCGCATTATTATTTTAATATTTTCTCACGCTTGAGGGTTTCTGGTAGAGATCTCTTAAAGAGATAAGTCATCCTTTGTAAACATTGCATCTGTTTTAACTTGTATGTTTTTTTCTGGTACATAAATAAATAAATAATTAAATAATACTTCTTAGATATATTTAAGGTAATGAAAGGATGCCCACCGCCCCATAACTTTAAAAAGGCATGAATATGAAGGACAAGGGATTTATTAAAAAGTTTGGATTTTTAAGATAAAATAGTTTTCATTTTAATAAATACCTACAGTTTGAAATCATTTTAATAAATACACAAATTTTTCTGATAAATATAACCGATATTGTATCAAGTACAATCAGTACTAGAAGCACAGAGGAACTGAGCTGGAGGACAAATATGGATGTGCTGCCGGACCCAATCGAGATAGGATACTACTGTCATAAAGTAACTGTAGAATAATATTATCCAAGTACGCAAAATTCCGAACAAACTCGACTAGCATGTTGTTTAAAATCAAATTTCAATTTTCATTCACAAAAACCAATTTCTTTATATCGTTTCATATGAATCTTTATGTGATTCTTATAACGTGTAAAAATGTTCCCATCTTTTTTGAATAAACGTAAAAATACCGCGTACCTATATTAAACATAAATTAATACAAATTTTTAATATAAGCAAACGCTATTGCTGGACGTTTTATGGCCAAAAATTGGTATTGTTCATGGATTAAAAAATAAAAATATTTTTAAAGTCTTTAATATAAATAGATTTCGTAAAAATTACTACCAATTCATATTATTTGTACAGATCAGATTCTCTATTACCTTCCTACTGTCATTAATAAAAAATGTTCTTTTAAGTGTTAAGATTTAATGAATGGTTTTAATTATTTTAACCTAGATACTTTAAAATTATAAGCTCAAGGTTTAGCATAGCTACCAATCTCGAAACTATGTACATACATAAGTATGCAATATATTTAGCTATATTCCGAACAGCATCAACTTGATTGTATTTAGATAACAACTCGGTATGGAATATAATATCCTGTGTGATTTCTGCGATCTCACTTTAAAAGTATAAAAGTGTAAGAATGTGTTTCAACGACGATAAGTTCTTGCTTTACTTGACATCTCAACGTTGTCGTTTATGAAACATTCACTTGAATTCGAAGGAAATCATATTGTTCGAGACGCCATCTTCAAATGCTGCAATCTCAAAATAGAACTTTTGTTATAATTTAAAATGTACGACAGTTATAACAAATGTTCGAGCAATTATTAAAAAAATATAATACATTTTTTTTTATATCAGGACATTAACACACAACACCATCTAGTTCCTTGATAACGAGGACTACGAGGCTTGTGTTATGGATACCAGATAGTTGATACATATATAAATTTAAATACATACATATTATAAATATAAACACCCATGATTGGAGTACAAACATTCGTGTTCACCACACAAATGAATGCCCCTAGCGGGACTCGAACCCACGACCGCTGGCGCAGCAAGTAGGGTCACTACAAACTGAGCCAAACGTGTCGTAAATTGTATGAACAGTTTAGTGTTCATATATAATAAATTAATCCATATTTCTACTGATGATAATAATAATTGATATTGATATTAATTATTTTGTCTTAGTTTATAGGCTTCTGTATTGTGTAGAAGCTATGTTCTAAATTTAAAAATCATATTTTTTTAATTTATTAGTATCAAGATTGCCTGTTAGGTAAAATTACTATAATACTCTATTATTTATAAGTAACTTCTTGGTCAAAATTGAGTCATTCGGCTAGCTAATTAAAGAAAGTGCTTTTTACAGTATGTCCGTTGTTGCAGGTCCACGGTGTTCCACATCGCACATCTTGGCGCTTTTAAGCTATTTACTGTTTAAGCACTGGTGAGAACTGTTCCCGTTTCAAGTTTCCTGCATAAGTTATGTGCATATGAAAACCGTATTCGTAAACTCTTGGGAAAATAGACAACTTGCGCGTCTAAAACTGAATATGGGATAACTAGGGAATAAAATAAGCGGTTAAAGTTAATTTGAAATTTAGTTATATATATTAACACAGATTTTTTTTCAATCTGTTAAATATTTTGTTTTGCATCTTTATATAATAATAATAATAATGTTTCTTTATCCTTTTAAAATTTCATCATATTATTCGGGAAACTCTACGTAAATACATTTCAAAACAAGTTAGTTTTAGGTCTTCTTTGTGGAAGCCACAAGAATTATCTACTAGAAATTCTACAGCGCAATATATAATATAAAATGTTCCTTTATGCAACAACAATTTTTTGACTTTCGTGTATTTCTATTAAAATTCGTACTTTATATCGCTTTATATCATAATATGGAGATTTTTTACGATTATTATTTATACAGCTAATATAGTGAATTTAATCGATTAATAGAAGAAAAGAAAGAAGCAAACTATGTAGATGTAAAGAAATTATCTAGATTTCTAGTACTGTTAATAGGAATAAGTAAAAATGAAGATTTTTATGGTTGTACCAATAAATACAAATAATAAGTGACATAATAAAAAGTAAATTTTCACAGATAAGTAAGCAAGCAGTGGACAATTCACAATAAACAAGAAAAGTGTGTTTCTATAGGAACATTGGTTTCGCAGTTTTGTGTACACGAGTACAAAAACAAATTGATCCCTTGAGTCAAATGTTTACGAACATAATCATACTATTTTCTTTTGCTGTGAGCCGAAATGTTTATTTCCAAATATGCGATAACATTTTTAATACTGGTAATATTCTAGTTAAATCATTTAAAACTAAAAACATATTTATTAGAATAAAATATTGAGAAATTGGCACTATACTTATAATTACTAATAAAAGCTATATAAAACCTGTATAAAGTTCTATAGTGATTTTAAATAATTTGATCACAAATTGATAAAATTTGTATTATGGTTTTTTTAGTTTTAATTTTTGTTAGTATGTGATCTTTGTCTCATGATAAAGTTATAGAACGTGAAAACAATAAAGCCCATTTCCAATGGTATTAAATAACGTTAAGTCTTGAACATAAGACAAACAATTTTCTAAGTCGATTCTAAGTAAGAAAGTCTTAAGCGACTCTGTAAAGGACTTAGTAAAACATAAAAAAACAATATTTTTATTTCTATTGTTTATTTTTGTTGAATGTTTATACTTAAGAAACAGCAAGATTTATAAGAAATACAAAATAGATGATTGCTGTAGCAAAAGATACCACCAATAAGTAACAAAATTAAGTTATATGAATTGATATTTTTCTCGATATAGATCTATTTTTGGTTAAACTTATACAATTAATTATATTTACAATTTCTTACTTTTTGAAAATTTCGTTTTAATCATAATATTTACGAGACAATTTCTTTTCAGGTTTCTCCGATGATTGATGGCGGAAAATTATTAAAAATATTTTTTCTCAACTCAACTCAGTGCTAATTAAAACACCCATTTTTATAGTTGAGTATTAATTATTTACTATTTTTTAAATCAAATAATTTTTAGTATTTTGTAAGTAAATAATAATATAATCATGAACTTTTACCCATACTTTGTTAAAATAAACGTACGATAGACGGCGTATTTCTTGAATAAATAATGTTTCGATATAAAATATTATTTTTGTAGATGTTTCATACTCCACTATATATTTGGGTACTAGTGGAAATACAAATTGACAGATAAAACGATTTATCGGTGAAGTGATGTAGTGAATTTTATACTTGTATATAAATATATATAGTTTTAAATTAATATTTAAGAGAATAGTGATGTTTCGATTCACTCTATGTATGTATCTGTTACGATAAAATAACGATGGTAAATAAAACAATCCCCTATTTCTAAAGCATGTTTCATTTTGTTATATAAAATGTCCAATTACTATCTTCTTTCTTTTTATTATATGCATGAAATAATAGAGATGGGAAAACTGGGTCAGATAAATAAAATGATACAGGTCGCTTAAAGAGTAATATATAAAAATTAAAAATAATTTCAACAACTTAATTAGTTGTTTTAAAAATGCTGCGGGTGTGAAATTCAGCCTTGCGTGTGTTCTACATAGACTGTGTGTGTTTAAAAATTAAGTTGCCAGATCTAAATAATTTCAAAAATTCATATATTGTTCTTTGAGAGCTATTTCTATAGTTTTAAGTTGAATTATTCAAAATTACCTTTTTTAAATACACCTCGATAGTGATAAGTATCCTATGCGTTATTAAAAAGACGTTACTTAAGTTCAATCTACAATAAAAGTTCATATGAAAACAAAACAATGTCTATACTTTTCATTGTTTTAATTATTACTAAATGCAACAGTATTTTCTAAAAACGAAACTCTAATTGTTACGTTAGATATTCTACGATACAATATTCTCATACCTATACTTATGTATGCTCGTTTTACCTGTCAATAACATTTACCTAAATCTCAATAAACTATATGACTAAAATATATATTTTTGCAACTGCCTATACATAAAAACAATATTGTTATAAAATAATATAGACAGGTTAAAAGGCAGTGGTAGTCCAGTGGTTGTCCATATAACCTAGTAACGCGGGTTCGATCTGGGATCTCGCATCTCTAATATTCTCATGTGCGAATAATTGGCAACATGATTATTGATTACTACTTGCCTCACGGTGTAGAAAAACATTTTGAGAAAGTCTGGATGTCTTAGAGAACTTTAGAAGCAAGTTGTAGAAAGACGTGTAAATTTTGCCAACTTTTATTTAAGGGAAATCCGTGCTCAGCAGTCATTAAAAAGGACCAAATACATATATAGACAGTAGTGGTTTTAAAATACGTATTGTTATTATGATAAATTATTCAGGCATATACTTGTACATATAAATACCTAGAATGAAAAGCTTAACAAAGAATCGAGATTAAACCCCTAAATAACGGAAACTACTTCCACATCACCGGCTTTTAACATAACCATTTACGTATTGTGCACAGGTTGAAAAGTAAAACACACAACCAATACAGTTTGAAGGTAATGGAAATTTTACGAACGACTGAGCCTTAATGGAGCACATGCGATATCTTACACGAGTGCGCTTACACCTAATATCATTTTACAGGCCAATAACTTATGATACTTTAGATACTAGAGCTACAGGTTATGAAATACTTTTTGTTATCTTAAAGTTCTTTTTCTATTTATTTTTATTATATTTTATTTATTGAACTCGTTCTTTTATACGTTTATGAAAAATGACAAAATATATTGAATAAAAAAGACGTTTATAGCTGCTACAGAGCGGTAATTTTTCATCTCCTTTATCTCACAGCATAGCTGAAATGTTGTATGATAAACAAAGAAAAACAAGTTAATTGTAATATAAATTGTAAAAATGTATTTTATAACTTTAAATCATTTCATCTTATTGATATTGGCATTTATGTATATATATCAATGTTTTGGTCTTGATTGATCATCTTGTTAAATGTATATTAAAAGATTTATATAAATAAAATAATTGCATTTCATATTGTTCAAAAATACAGTATATTTCTATTTGTGAAAGTAAGTAAGAAAACTCACTATATTCTCTATGTCACTGAAAAATAATACTAATTAAATTCAATGTACAGATTAGATTTTTTGCATCATTAAAGAACGCATTTTGTGGGCATTATTACTTTGAGATATAACCGACGGCAATATTAAGTGGTTGGGGAATAGAATTTGTAGAGAAAGCCACAAAAACTTACAAGTGCAAAATAAGGTTAAGTGAAGTTTTAATGCAGTGAAATAATTTAAAATAATTATATAAATTTAATTTATGCTATTGTGTTACACAAATAATAAATTTCTTAGTACACATCAATTCATGAAATAGTATATACGTGACCGTATTAAAATACTTTGTAATATAAAGCAAGGCACAGAACTACAATATTTTTATAGATGTTGGAGTACAAAAGAAATATAAAATATATTTACTTTTTCACAGAAAGCATAACATTTTCCTTCAAAATATTCGTCATTTCTCTCCGAAATTGTCTGCTGACAGTTTTTGTAATGCACCGTTCGTGAGTCGTTACAAAGCGATTGCTGCATCCCATCTCGATTGTTACATCCCCAGGCTCGTTTGAGCCGGATCGACCTACTTGTTCAAGGCAAATATCAAGTGATAAAATTTTATACGGAATATACATGAGTTAAGTTGAGCTTAAAATGTCATATTATACATATATCTTGCAAAACTTTTATTTCTAAAAGTAAATTAGTAAAGTTACATCTCTCACTATCTACTACCTCTGAATGGTTCGATTTTCGCTTGGAGTGAATGATGTTTTGTACGAGAAAAATGTGCTTAAAATGACTTATTAAAGAATATTAAATTAATAATTTAACAATTTTATATTATTAATGCTTATAGAAATTATAATATTAAAAATACAAAAATTTACACAAATGAACAATAGTAGAAACTTTTTTACATAAATCTGACAATTAATTATTTATTTATAAGCACTTGTATTAATTTCTGGTTTATGAATACAATTCTACAAAATCTTTGAAGTGATGCACCGATTCGTGTATCGCGCCGGCTCGAAAAAAAAATAAAGTCAACTTGACAAGGACTCTTGACAGCTTGATGTAGTCACAGATTAATTATTATTAAATATCAAAACTTAAAAAAAAATAAAAAACGACTTCCAGGCACTGAAAAGGTAAAAATAACTAAACGGGGGTTTTCATGTAGAATAGATACCTCATTAGATTTTTTCGAAGTCGGTGTGCTTTGATTTGTATTCGCTGGCACCAAAGCCCGATTGCCTGACGCGACAAACCAAGACCGTTTACCTTGGCGTAGAAAAGTGAGGAGAACTCACCCCAAATAATGGGATCAGGGACAGAAGAAAAAGAAGAAGCATAGTGTGTACCTAGTATAGACTGAGTCCATAGAAATAAAGACAGACATACGGTAAGGTTTGCGCTACAGTAATCTTAGATGTTGCCCAAGCTTTAATAAAGTTTTAGTGTTGAAGATAATCACACAGACCACTCAGCAAGCCCAGTGCATGTTGGCGGACTTACACGTCGTTTAATAACTACTTAGACATACAGGTTTCATCACGATATTATCTTTCAACGTAAGGGTAATCAAATAAAAACATGCGAGACCGATTTGAACCCACTTAACTTGGTTTTAAAAGTACGCGCGTTACCACTGGGCTACTGCTGTCACTATATTATTATTTACATCTCTACAGTTTTGTACAAGCCAATAATTGCATATATATGAGCTCCTTCATTAAATTATACAACTTAACTTAATACAACACTAATTTAGTAGGCATTCAATTTAATACTATTCAACATATTACACTATGCTCAGTGAAGTTGACCATTGACAGGTTATACAATGAATACAATGTGGGGAGTGGGTATAAAGCGATTGTTCCTGCCGCGTTTGAACTACATATGTAGCCGCCCTAAACACTTAATCATGCGAATCATGTGAGTACTGAATATACATATATTTATAAAGGTGATGTAACAGGCAATTTGGGAGACAGTTATATTTATTTTGCAGGGGACATAGAATGACTGTCGCTATATCTATACATATAATAAAATTGTAACTAACCCGAATCTGTACATTAAATATTTTTTGGAAATTCTTATTGATATAGACATTATTATCGATACAGAGGCCGAATCTATAGTTTTTAGAATTTTTGTCTGTCTGTCTGTCTGTTAGCGCATCACAGAAAAACCACTGGAGGGATAATGATGAAATTTGGTATGGTGATAGCTGGTTATTCGGGTAAACGTATAGAATACTTTTTACCGCGGGAAAATATCTCATTTCTGAGAAAAAATGCAAAACCTGCATTGTAAGATTAGACTAATATATAAAACCTAAGAATTTGCTTTTTGGTCATATGAACGCGGGCGGAGCCGCGGGCAATGCTAGTTTATGATAAATTCAACTTGAAATCTAATATATAAATCATAACAACATATACCTAAGTATATTTTTTTTGAGAAATATGACTTTTTTACGGACATAGCGTGATGTATACATACATTATGATACGTTTATGTATACATTATATAAAAAATGAATAGCAGATTTATTTAACTTTTATGAACAATATAAAATTGTCAAAGCAATCATTTTCAAGAGAATCGATAATAATGAAATGACGTAGATCTCTTAAGCAAAATTATTTCTCTTCTATTTCTGAATACTATAAGACAAAAGAATTTTAAATCATCAAAGTATAATTTAAAACAAACGAAAAGTTATTATTAAATTATATTGGCTCTAAAAAAAAATTTGTTTTTATTTAAATTGGAAAACCATTATGAACTATTTATGGGTAAATTTCACTGAACAGGCTAATTCAATTGC